GGTTTCAGTGGCGGGTGCCTCCTTTGAAGGGTTAAATACGAAGGCGACAATGCGGTCTGCAAAACAGGGGGAGGATCAGCAGCACAGGGTACTTACCCAGGGAGCGCTTGGCGGAGTCCAGCTCGGCCTCAGTTGTCTTGCACTGATACTCAGTGTTCCTGAGCTTTTGAGTAAGATCTAGACAGTCTTGCTCTTTAGTAGATACACGCTTTGCCGTCTCTTCCATTTGCCGTTTAAGCTCGCTGATCTGTCTCTTGAGGGCAGTCTCTCTCTTACGGAAGGTTTCCTGAGGGAATACAAAGGCCAAAAATATCAGGAAACCCTTTAACTAGTCATATGTGCGTACTAGCATAGAAAGGATAAATACTTTTCAGGCATTATAGTGTTTTAAGGAATTTCAAAGCATTTTTCCCGGGTATAAATTTGAAGCAGACGAAAACGGTAGAATTTATCTGTAAAAATAAATTCTGCCGTTTTCGTCTGCTTCTAAGGAATTCCTGTTTGCTTATAAGCGGTTATTACAGTAAACAAATGAACGCGTGAAATTTGATGCTGGAAATTAGGATGCTAATTAGCGTACACCTAAAACGTTGTGTAGTTTAATTTTTCGTCAAAGCCGGTCCGAAAAAAGTTGTTTTTCACGCAAAATACGTTTCTAAGGAATTTTATCAAGGAAAAAATTGCCAGCTTCGAACGACAAGCAAAGTTACCTAAAACTCAGAAAATTTAATTTGCTGGCAACTGCTTCCAGCCACGTTTATGCATAAAGGCATGTTTTTGCACAAGAGGAGAGTAATTTCAACGGGCTAATTTTACTAAGCCAATTGTCAACCAATAGGAGATTAATTTTTGATCCGCGTAAGTCGAGTGAAATGGCATGGAACAAAGCGTGGGTAGGAGTATCTCGTGGGGCTGCCTGGGGAGCGCGCCAAGCGTGCTCCTCCACCTTTCGAGCTCATGATTTTAGGGGAGAGGACGGGTGGGGCATGTCAGGGAACAAATTATATAGCAATTATTCTGCAAAATAAAAAGTTACGAGGGTAAGTTGGGGCGCGTACTCAAACGTTGGGCGGGGACACTAAAACATGCTTTAATATCATCTCTAAGCTACCACCGGACCGACGGCGAGAGCGTGTCCCAACCTCGGGCGAGGTCATTAAGGCACATTTTCAAGTGGTACCACCAACACCAACTAGAAAAAGGTTACCGCAGTACAAAAGCGGGAGGATTGTGGGAATCACTCCACTTAAAATTTGTAAGTAAGAGATTATTTCCGTGGTTAATTTAAAAGGTCAATTTTGCTTAATAAACTGACTAAAGCGGTTTTTATTTGCGGCGGTCCACCGAGGACCAATCTGCAGTTCGATGTCATCATCAAATCCCTGCTGGATCGACGGATGGCGTGTAGAAAACTCGGTAATTCAACCTACTTAAAAAGTTAAGTAGGTGGCTATAATACATAAGGGCATTTCGAAGACCCCACTTGGAATCCCTACCACAGCGCGTTATTGGAGACCATTTGTTGATCGAAAAGCTATCAATCGCAGACTGTCATTGTAGTCGCTCCTGTTTGTCGACGTTTTGGTTTCATGTTAGGCTGTGCCTATAAGTATGAGCCAAACAGCCGTTCGATGAAAGTTAATGCCAAAGAAGTCACCAGTTCGGTAGATTCTTCCAAGAGATACCACATGCTGAAAGTTTTAAAATCAATTAGCTACAGAATCGATGTTTCGGGAAGCCGGTTGAGAACGCTGAAAATCGCAAAATATTCACTGATATTTCAATGACAGCTGTACCTCAGTGGATTCCATCATCTTTAAAAACTACGCAATACGGTTATAGGATAAAAGTCACTTTGGTTCACAGACAGTGGATCATGGTCCATGGTGGATTGGGGATCAGGAGCCATAACCAAAGAACATAACGAGGTTCTCTTCTTCATTCTCTGCGCTAAGATTTTCCCCATGGAAAAAACGTAGATAGACAGAAAAATATTATTGCCGGCAAAGTCGAGGGAGACTGGAATGGCAATTTCTGGCTTATAAGCCGTCGTCAGCCAGTCATACCCGGGCCCAAGTGGCATCGCACTCGAACTTCGAACTCGCGATCTTTTTGATAAGGGTCAAACACCCTAACCATTGAGTCACGAGCTTGTTGTCTCGCCTGTTTAAGTCAGGGGATATTGACACTCGTTGATGAACTTCCATCCGTGTCTTAGTCGGCAATAATATCTGCCTATGCTAACAGCTGTTATGGCTGTCAGGGCCTCTATTGAGGCCCAAGACAGAGTGGGACAGATGAGTTCCGTTAGCGATCAGTTGAACGTTCATCAAGGAGGGACAGAAGAATGGCTAAGACCCCGTTATTACAAAATATCTCAACCTTCAATCGTGATTCGTTCATACATTCTATCCATTGATCCAGATCACTAGAGTGTCGAAGAAAGACATATGGGCGTAGGCGTGGGGGCCGTCCTCGCCTTATTGTTGCGCGGTCTTGGTAAAAAAATCTGTTAAACTAGACACTCATCATATAGAAGGACACTTTTTCTCTTAAATCCCACGCATTACCCCCACAAGAGCGACAGTTTTTCTCCTAAAAATCCCTGAGGAGTAAAGAGCGACAGTTTTTCTCCTAAAAATCTCTGAGGAGTTTTTTCACTGTCTGGCCCTATTTTCTCCTATGACACAGGACAAACAGTCTGAGAAACAAATTTTCTGCTACCACTGCACATATGTACAAATAGGGCAATCAAAGGAATTTTTCCTACATATCCCTCAATATACTGATACTGATACCAACTATGACTAGATTATGCATGAATAAATCGATATATCGATTTGGATGCCAAGCAAAGTATCGTACGGATTATACTTGCTGTAAATGCCTAAAGTTGAGGTTCGAATCGATAGTTATCCTAAACTGAGATAGGAGTATGGACTGTTGATAACGGTTGGTAAATCAGAACCTACCATTCCAGTCTGCTTCGGTACACCTTCTTAATATAGATATATAATCGGAATGGGTGTAGCCCGCACCTATATGATTGGCTTTGCAGAAAATACTTACCGCGTTATCTGCTGTTAGTAGTCGCGATTTGCAACCATCCGTAGCTAGACTACAAACAAGTGCCAACGCTTGCTGTTTTCGCACTTCTCTGACGATGGCCTCTGGTGTGATGCCGAAAGCTCATAATAATACGATTGGCGTCCCATTGATCGCGTCCTTTTCTTGTTTACAAGGTAGCAACTATTTAGATACATGGAAACTGGACTTCTACAGATAGCGGATACTAGAATAACGTTGTTTTCAGCTTATTTAATGCTCTCATCAGCCATGAGCGGAGACCACACCACGGATGCATTGACAAATACTCATCTGGGCGAAACATGGCCTCGGGACACAGATTCAAAAGCAGTAAAACACCATGGTTGGGAACAGTGCCTCCTATCAAACGGTATCTATCGAGAGACAGCAGGGGAAGGGTTATTTCCTGATCGGGTACGTTCCGATGTGACACATTTGGCAGGCCAAGTAGCCTCCATTGATCAACAGACTTATTTGTGGCCTCACCAACTGAAAATGGTACTTAAGAGGCTCGAAAAGGTGCTTTGCATCCTTCACTGCCGTTCGCAGCTCAACTTTTGTAATCTGGTAGGTGGGTGCAACTCGCAACTCCTATCACAAAGTCCGATAATTATGAATTGAGGCAAATGTTCGCATCCCAGATATGTGCATAGACAGAGACGAGGAAGGTATTTCGATCACCGGAGTTTTCGGACTCTTACTGGAGTGCAGAGATAAAAACGTTAACGAACCAACCCATACGATATGGCATGCGCTGCCATACATCAAGGATGTGTCCGAAGCGACCGAGCGCATAGCTGCGGGACTAGGCGTGGGGATTGCACACCGTCCCAAGGCTACCATGAGCAGCCGGGTCAGGAAAATCAAGGACAGATTAAATCCCAGTGAGCCGTCGGGCATGGTGTATCGCATACCATGTCTAAACTGTCCCCGAAATTACACAGGGCAGACTGGACGCATGCTTGTTTCACGCATACACGAACATAAGCTGGCTGGCAGACGGGGTGACGCATTTTCATAAGTGGCTGCCCACACCTACGAGACCGGTCACGAATTTAATTTCGTAGCTGCGAGGGTAATCGCCCACGCCGGCAACAAGACAGGCCGAGAATTGCTTGAAGCCTGGGCCTCGGATGAGAACTCAGTACATCGATTTTTAGATCTGGCGCCAGCATGAATCGCCCTGCGCAGGCATCTCTAGACTGACGGCATTGGTGGTTTATTGACCCCTTCCCACCCCCCACCGCTAGCCCCTACAATGGTTGATTGGCCCCTGCCCCGTGAGTGAGTGAGTATTTGAAACATTGTGTGGATAAACCTGTAGCCAATAAAAATGCAGGAAGAACTACCAACAGACTATCAGGCGCTTCTAGCGTTTTTACGTATTGTATTCATTATTATTTTATTTTAGATTGTTTTTTTTAAATTATTTAGAAAAAGGAAATGATGGTTAGGAGGTCGTCTACATCAAATTATCTGTGGCTCAACTTACCGTTCTGGAGTTAGTTTAATATAGACCGCGGCGCGAAGCGCCGCGCACACCTTCAATTTACAGGCGAAATAACCTACAAGAACCGTTGGATGTGTTTTCTTCCAGTTTTTGGAACCTCTTCATGACAAATTAAAACCTTAAAATGACCGCCAATACATTGAACGGTCATGCTACACGTTCATTGGTTGAAATTATCCGCCACGCCTGTTCACATAGGGTCTCTCCCCTGCCCCCTATAACAGTTGCTTGTTTTCGTTTGCACTTTTATCTCTGACGATGGACTCCAGCAAGAGTCCGAAAGCTCAGAGGAATAAAATTATGATTCCGGTGATCGAAACTCCTTCTCTTACTCCATCTATTCGATAATTATACCTAGATCATAACAACCTATACTCCTCCTCTTGCTTTCTTGTTGCTTCAGCCTAACACAGACGCAAATTCCCTATCTCATTAAATGTCAACTGAAATTCTGAAATGTGTGTTCGATTCGAACACATTAATTAAGCAGGAGTGTAATGCGGCTTATCGTGCAACTTACTCTCAATATAATTCAGTCATGTCAGAACGCCGGCCTTTGAATGAGCTTCATTGACCGCCTACAAAAAGTATTGCATTTTCCTCGTTGATTTCACTGCTCTTATAAATTCATATATATTATGTAGAAAAACTGTAAAAAACCATTCCTTTGGGAGAAAATTGGGCCTTCCTCAAATTTAATTCTTGAATTAAGGATATTTTTCGGTTGCGAAAAACTTTGTACTTTTGATATTTTACCATCATTGAATGCGCACACATCAAGTAACGTATCTGTCCATTTATTAATGCTGCCTATAAATTATACAACTTGATCCCCGTCTCATTCTAAATTATATGAGAGCTATATGAACTCTTTCTCACACCATGGGGAAGTATTTACTCATCCTAAAACAGAATGCATACAGCATGTATCGTATTAACTGGAAGGCAGGCATCCCAGGTTGGAGGACTTTGTTGGGGGCCAGCCCAATCGACGCAAGCTTATGCAGCCCTGACGAGCCGCTCCTACGCCACGGTGACTGATAGATCGACCGTCGTTTTCGACGCGGTGACTGTAGCTGAATTACAGTGAAAGTAGACTCGCAGGATCTAACCCACTCTCTCACCACTCCCACACCTGTACCCGATGTGAAGGCAAAATTCGAGAAGACCAAAGACGGGGGGGGCGCACTTGGCTGGTGCGGCCGAGGTTGCCCGTGAGCGCGCCACCACGCTCAGAACGTTCAGTTTAGCAAGATAAGCACGCAGCGACTGGCCGGATGGTCCTTGCGAGGACGTGACAGCCACCACCGCCATCATCCCACTCGCAAATTAACTACGCCCCACCGGCAGGTATCCATCCCCCTGGCTCAGAGAAAGAGAGAGAGAGAAAGAGAGAGAGAGCGAAGCTACAATTAGCCGGGCAACCATGTACACAGCCTGTAAACCCAAGCGCATTCACCGACGGGGAGTCACATCCAAGAAAACTGCCAGCGCAAATCAGGTCGCAGGTGTTATAAAGACGGGTTCTGCGTCGCCAGTGTTGTAACGGTGGCACCGACAGATCCACCAACTATCGTCTTACTAGCTGGGGATGGACTGGTTCGTCTTTAGCATCTGTAGGTCTCTGTGCAGAATGGCGAGAGAGAGAGAGAGCTATCAGTCGTCTGAGAGATGCCTTAATGCTCGGCTACGATACTGAACGTTCGGGAACTTTATTGAGGTTCCTTCTGCCAATTTGGCCTCTCCCATGTCGTTGGCTTCATGAAACTAGGTCGCGTGCGCAATATGAATAAGCGAGGTCATTATAAGTGTGGCCATATACCCGACCGTCATTCTGGAGTCTCAAACAAGCACTGACAGACCACCGCAGGGTTACCCCAACACACTCGGGACGATTAAACACCTCACACAAGAATGTAATTTGCTGATGGGACCCAGATAGTCGTGAAATTAGTCCAAAAGGCAAAAAGGTGGTCGCTTCAGGCCTTGTACTAAGAGCTGTATATTCGACCAAGATGGAACTCCTGGGTTATTGGTCTGCTTCCACCACGTGCGAGCGGGGCTGTCAGCAAAACTGACAGTAAAAGGGTGCAATCGACCATCTGGCCAGTTGGGTGCGCGC